TTTTTTTTTTTTTTTTTTTTTTTTTTTGTGCTTGTGGCTAGGACCGGCTGGCCGGGCTGTGGGTTGTCGTCGCGACGTGACGGCTAGATGGATGGGAGCGGCAGCAGATTGTTGAGACAATGGGAGACATTGATAACAATACATCAATAAGATGCTAGAAAAGATAGTGCTTGTTGAATGGAGGAAAATCTTTGTTACAATGCCAGAAGCAAGGAAGAGAGCTTGGTTGGCTAGTCTTTAGGATTGCTACGTATATTTATTGTTGAGAGAATATTTATGAATTGTTCTTCTTATTCTGTTTGATGTTTGTGATTTTAATTTGTATGCATATTTACCAAAAAAAAATGATTGAGCCATTTGTATGCATATTTTAGATTTTTGTGACTTTAATTTGTATGCACAATTCTTTATTGAATTTGAATATTTGAAGGTAATAGATCTATAAGGAATGAAGACAATCACTCCGATAGTGATTCAGATCTTAAAGAAATGGTGCATCATATGATAATTTGTATTCATATTTATGAATATTGGCAATCATATGTAGATAGAACTCCATGTCATAATTCTGTTTTATTCGGGCATGAATATGTTTGAATGGGCATCTAGATAGGATTTAAGACTTGTTTCGCATGGACAAACATGTATTCCAAAGGTTGTGTTACACACTTGAGAATCAGAAGGCAATGGCAATTTTTTTATTTATAGTGTCTCATTATATCTGCATGCGAGTGGCTGTTGAGCGTTTCCAACGATCTAAAGACACAATTCATAGACAATTTTAGTGTGTTTTGGGAGCTTTATGTGCGTTAGCACCACGCATTATAAGGCCATAAAGTTGAGAGGAAACACCTTCTGAAATTTTGAATAACCCAAAGTATTGTCCTTATTTTGAGTTGAGAAATCGATTGTTAATTTTATTTATTTTATTATTATAATTATATATTTTAAATTATATTTACTTTATAGTTTGTAAATATATGAATTTATCGCAGAAGTGTATTAGTGCAATTGATGGAACTCATGTTGCTGCTTGGGCACCAACTCAAAAGCAAACCGCATATCATGGTAGGAAGATCCTTATTACTCAAAATGTCATGTGCACTTGCTCTCTGGACACGATGTTCACTTTTGTTTATACAGGCTGGGAAGGAACTGCAAATGACTCTAGGGTGTTCATAGATGCAGTGATAAGGCCAGAAAATGAGTTTCCTTTTCCAGATGAAGGTATAAACATAAGATTATAATTAATATTATTATATACAGTATTTGTGTCCTGCAAGTAATAAATTAAAATTACAGAGTATTGTTGTGGATGCTGGATATTCAAACATGCTTGGATTCTTAGCACCATACCAAGGTGAGATATATCATTTGCGTGATGATAGAGGACCTCGATGAGCACCAAGAGGTCCTATGGAATTGTTCAGTTATAGGCACTCCTCATTATCTAATGTACTTGAGCGATGTTTTGGTGTTTTGAAAGCTCTTTTTCCAATTTTGAAATTGATGCCTAATTATCCTCCTAGAAGGCAACGACGAGTTCCTATTGCATGTTGTGTGTTATATAATTTTATAAGAAAATAAGCTGGTCATGAAAGGATGATCGAAGGGTTCCAAGTTGAAGACATGATCATTGACTCAGAAAATACAACACACCGAATATAGATATGTCAGCAAGAAATATTGCACAAATGTGCGACATTAGAGACAAGATCGCAGCGGATTTGTGGCGGGATTTTATTTAATGCTCATGACAACATGATTTTAAAATTATGTTGCATATATTTCAGATATTTGTGAGACTATGAGAGATTTGATCTATGATGTAGGATGATATCATGGAGGACATGAGCCCATTTTGGGTTATCTAGCATGTATTGTATAATGATAATTAATTAGACCATTGCACAATTTTTAAGATTTTTTTTGGCTTATTAATAAGTCTTATAAGATATGTGCTACACACAATATTTGATTTATGATGTTGAAAATAATTTTTATAATACTGTTGCCAATTCAGTATTTTCATCATTTTCATATGTTCGTATTAGACACGTTTTCATTGTTTTCGTTCTCAGAAAATATTTTTCAATTAGTCTACCAGATGCATTCTCGAATCTTGAAAATGTAAATTCGTTTTCTCATTTTCATTTTTTGAATATATTCTTTGAAAACGTTATTGAACAGACCCTAAATTGCCTATTTTTCTTTTTCTTTTTTTCCTTTTTAATTGTTTTCTAAATTTTAGGGTCCATGAAAAAATATATATATTCCATGATAAAATCAACTTTAGTTTGTAATGCATTTTTCAATGTTGAGAGTCAAATAAGAACCTGGTTGAGCAGCGTTATCTATTAAAATATCAACATTCAACGAAAAATTAATTGACAATAACTGGAGAAGTTGACAATAGGTGGAGAAGTTTAAGCACTATATTACAACGTTTCCATTTTCCCATGTGGAATACTATCAATACTAAATTCCTCAAGTTGGATTCTACTCAAGTTAGGGAAGAAGCTCATCAGGACAACTATTATAACTGACATCAAATGGATCACATTTACATCTAACTTAAAAAGAATTCCACTGCCGGGATTCGAACCCGGATTACAATTATCCATTTGTGAGTATTGCTACAGCGGATTTGTTGACAATTTTTGAAGAGACATAAGTTATATAAGGAGTTTACTTGGGCACTATGCATTTATTTTGAAACTTATTTTTGTTTGTTAATGTATGTATATATTTTGTTAGTTTGTTTTTATCAACATTTCAACAAAAAACAATTAAATTTCCGACGATGTTTCATATATACTACCTTGGTGCCAATTGGTTTTTTTTTTTTTAAATTTAAGAATTAAGAAAGAGAATCCAACCCAAAAAAAAAAAAAAAAG